GAATCTTTTGTATTTTACACTACAAAGTGCCCAGTCCCCGTTGCGATCCCCCTCCATTTATGGCAAAAAATAGCATTTGCTGAGCATGCGTGCAGAATCTCTGGTATTTTACATTACAAAGTGCCCGGCCCCCGTTGCGACCGGTTATGTAAACCGGCTCCATCTATTTCAAAAAATAACATTTACTGAGCGTGCGTGCAGACTCTCTTGTATTTTACACTACAAAGTGCCCGGCCCCCGTTGCGACCGGTTATGCAAACCGGCTCCATCTACTGCAAAAAATTGAGAATGCTGCGGATGCGTGCAGAATGTCTACTATTTAATATACAACTGCCCGGCCCCTGTTGCGAGCCGATCCATCTATTCTAAATCATGTGCTGGCATGCGTGCAGAATCTCTTTCGCCCGACCCGACCCGTCCTGTCCGTTTTGCCTGCCCGACCCGCCCCGTCCGTTAGGGTACTCGCGTGCCAACACTCGACCCGATCCGACGCGCTCGCAATGGTCCATCTGCTTTTTTTCGCTTGTATGGGGCACACGGGTGTTGAAGTTTAACAGTCCTCTCGGGTGTGTCTCGATTGCCAGCTACCTCCCCACTATCTCCGCCTCATCATTTGTCATTCTCTGTTCTTCTTGTCAATGCTGTTCTGTGCACATGTTCTGGCAGAGGGAGCGGTCAAATCTATGATGTTCGCTCAACTATTTTTGGTTCAGCAGGAGGTATCGTGTGCTCATAACCGATCCTCGTCCTGCCAAGTCTATTAGAAGACAAAGGATTGCGCGCGAGCAGTTTATTCTTGCATCTCTTTCGCCCGACCCGTCCCGTCCTGTCCGTTTTGCCTGCCCTACCCGTCCCGTCCGTTAGGGCACTCGCGTGCCAGCACCCGACCCGATCCGTCGCGCTCGTCAGGGTCCGTCTGCCCGACCCGTTTCGCTTGTATGGGGCACACGGGTGTTGAAGTTTAACAGTTCTCTCGGGTGTGTCTCGACTGCCAGCTACCTCCCCATTCATCCCCGCCTCATCATTCGTCATTCTATGTTCTTCTGGTCAATGCTGTTCTGTGCACATGTTCTGTTTGTTCTGAGTGTCCAGAACGAACTTGCCACACTGTGCCTATCCAGTCGCACTGTTCGTTATGCATGGTTGTATTCCGGGGTTTCGTCTACGACTGGATTCGGGTTACCAGCCAGGGACGCTATCCCGTCACCGCGCTATAGCATGGCATAGCACCGCATGGGTCCCCACCAAGTGGGGGCCCCTATGCGCGCGTTGCCGTTTTCTTCTACTTGCCCCATGCCTTTCCCGCCACCGTGCTATGGCATGGCATAGCTCGGCGTGGGTTCCCCAAAAGGTGGGGACTCTTATGTGCGCGTTGTCTTTTTCTCCTTCCTATCTCAGGCCTATCCCGCCACCGGACTATAGCATGGCATAGCACATCATGGGTCCCCAAAAGTAAGCTCCTCCCGCCGGACCCGACCCGTCCCGTCCGTTGGGGTCCGCCTGCCCGACTCTTCCCGCCCGTTAGAGTACTCGCGTGCCAACTGGATCGCACATCAGTCGTCGCCGTCGTCGTCGTCGTCGTCGTCGACGTTGTATTCGATGTGGTTCTAACGAGGGGAGAGATGATCTTTATGGTGGGGTGGCGTGCGGGTGGGACTGACGGCCACCGCGGGTGGGTTCGCGGTCAAGTGTAATCGTGGCCAAGCCTGGTAGACCCTAAACCTTAAATTCTTAATCTAATAATTCTTAAATCATTATTGCAAAAGCGGTCCGTATGCAAACCGGCTCCATCTACTGCAAAAAATAGCATGTTCTGAGCATGCGTGCAGATTTTTTTTTTTTTTCACAGCACAAAGTGCCCAGCCCTCGTCGCGATCCGGTTCCATCGATACAAAAAATAACATTTCCTGCGCATGCGTGCAGAATTTCATATATTTTACAGCACAAAGTGCCCAACCCCCGTCGCGAGCCCCTTCCATCTATGGCAAAAAATAGCATTTCCTGCGCACGCGTGCAGAATCTCATATTTTTACTTAACAGCTTGTGCTGATAGGCTTCTAGTGGGGTCAAAAGAAAGCAGCAGATGACTCCACAGGGGGGTCGGGGCAGCATCCGGGGAGCTGTGTCCGAACTCGTGTCCGAATACGCTTTTAGCAAACAGTCACACACTTCGTGCTCTTCGACTTCCCAGAACTCCATTCCCGGGCCACATTCTGAATGCCCGGAGCCAACTGTAGGCCACTTCGTGCTCTTCGACTTCCCAGAACTCCATTCCCGGGCCACATTTTGAATGCCCGGAGCCAACTGTAGGCCACTTCGTGCTCTTCGATTTCCCAAACTCCACTCCCGGGCCACATTTTGAATGCCCGGAGCCAACTGTAGGCCACTTCGTGCTCTTCGACTTCCCAGAACTCCATTCCCGGGCCACATTTTGAATGCCCGGAGCCAACTGTAGGCCACTTCGTGCTCTTCGACTTCCCAGAACTCCATTCCCGGGCCACATTTTGAATGCCCGGAGCCAACTGTAGGCCACTTCGTGCTCTTCGACTTCCCAGAACTCCACTCCCGGGCCACATTTTGAATGCGCGGAGCCAACTGTACGCCACTTCGTGCTCTTCCACTTCCCAGACTTCCAAGACTCATCATCTTCATCATCATCATCATCGTCCCCGTGGCCTTCTTGGCTACAGCCCTGCTTTCGGAGATTTTCTTTCAAAGGAACTGCGCAGCGCCTACTGCGCACCTTAATGCTGGGACATGCTGATAGTTCTCGGTCTGGCGGCGGTGCTTTTGACCCTGCTGCATTGAACAGCGCTGCTCCTCAGCCTGATGCTGCGGCAGGCTGAGGCTGAGGCTGGCTGAGGCTGAGGCAGGCTGAGGCTGAGGCTGAGGCTGAGGCTGAGGCAGGCTGAGGCAGACGCTGAGGCAGGCTGACGCTGAGGCAGGCTGACGCTGAGGCAGGCTGAGGCTGAGGCTGAGGCCGATGCAGGCTGAGGCTGATGCAGGTTGAGGCTGAGGCCGAGGCTGAAGGCAGACTGAGGCTGAGGCTAAAACAGGCTGAGGCTGAGGCCGAGGCTGAGGCTGAGGCAGGCTGAGGCTGAGGCTGAGGCAGGCTGAGGCTGAGGCAGGCTGAGGCTGAGGCTGAGGCAGGCTGAGGCAGACGCTGAGGCCGAGGCTGATGCTGATGCAGTCTGAGGTTGAGGCTGAGGCTGATGCAGGCTGAGGCTGAGGCAGGCTGAGGCTGAGGCCGAGGCTGAAGGCAGACTGAGGCTGAGGCTGAAGCAGGCTGAGGCTGAGGCTGAGGCAGGCTGAGGCAGGCTGGGGCTGAGGCTGAGGCTGAGGCAGGCTGAGGCTGATGCAGGCTGAGGCTGAGGCTGTGACTGCGACTGCCGTTGCCACTGCGACTGTCATCGCGAATGCGACTGCGATTGCGAGAAAGAATTTTACAACTGGATTATCATATGAATCTTAAGGGGAATGCTTTTAGATATGCTTCTACACATCGCTGTTAGGTTGCTTTGCCGGGATAGTTTACAGCACAAAGTGCGCCCCTCTTATGTAAACCCGCTCCATCTATTGCAAAAAATAGCAATTCGTGCGCACGCGTGCAGAATCTTTGTATTTTACAATACAAAGTGCCTTCCGTTGCGACCCGATCCACCGATTCCACAGACTAGCGTTTCCTGCGCATGCGTGCAGAACCTCTTCCGCCCGACCCGACTCGTCCCGCCCGTTACAGCACTCGCGTGCCAACTGGATCGCACATCCGTCGTCGCCGTCGTCGTCGTCGTCGTCGTCGACGCTGTATTCGATGCGGTTCTCACGAGGGGAGAGATGATCTTTATGGTGGGGTGGCGTGCGGGTGGGACTGACGGCCACCGCAGGTGGGTTCGCGGTCACGTTGTACTCGTGGCCACGCCTAGTAGACCCTAAACCCTAAATCGTAAATTTTTAATCATATAATTATTAAACCTTGATTGCTACAGAACCGGCCCGTATGCAAACCGGCTCCATGTATTTTAAAAAATATCATTTGCTGAGCATGCGTGCAGAATCTCTTGTATTTTACATTACAAAGTGCCCGGCCCCCGTTGCGATCCGCATCCATCTATTGCAAAAAATAGCATTTGCTGAGCATGCGTGCAGAATCTCTTGTATTTTACAATGCAAAGTGCCCGGTCCCCGTTGCGACCCGGTTATGTAAACCGGCTCCATCTACTGCCAAAAATAGCACTTGCTATTTTACAATACAAACTGCCCGGCCCTCGTTGCGAGCCGATCCATCTATTCCAAAAAATTAGCATGTGCTGCGCATGCGTGCAGAATCTCTTTCGCCCGACCCGACCCGTCCTGTCCGCTGTGCCTGCCCGACCCGTGGTCGTTAGGGTGCTCGCGTGCCAACGCCCGACCCGATCCGACGCGCTCGTTAGGGTCCGTCTGCCCGACCCGTTTCGCTTGTATGGGGCACGCGGGTGTTGAAGTTTAACAGTTCTTTCGGGTGTGTCTCGATTGTCTCTCTGTCTACCTCCCCACTCATCTCCGCCTCATGTTTTGTCATTCTATGTGCTTCATGTCAATGCTGTTCTGTGCACATGCGTTGCCTTTTAGCTCTACTAGCCCCATGCCTTTCCCGCCACCGTGCTATGGCATGGCATAGCTCGGCATGGGTTCCCCAAAAGGTGGGGACTCCTATGTGCGCGTTGTCTTTTACTCCTTCCTATCCCAGGCCTATCCCGCCACCGGACTATAGCATGGCATAGCACATCATGGGTCCCCAAAAGTAGGCTCCTCCCGCCGGACCCGACCCGTCCCGTCCGTTGGGGTCCGCCTGCCCGACTCTTCCCGCCCGTTAGAGCACTCGCGTGCCAACTGGATCGCACATCAGTCGTCGCCGTCGTCGTCGTCGTCGTCGTCGACGTTGTATCCGATGTGGTTATAACGAGGGGAGAGATGATCTTTATGGTGGGGCGGCTTGCGGGTGGGAGTGACGGCCACCGCAGGTGGGTTCGCGGTCAAGGTGTAATCGTGGCCAAGCCTGGTATGCCCTAAACCTTAAACCCTAAACCCAAAACCCTAAACCCTAAACCCGAAACCCTAAATTTCCAATCTCATAATTATTTAACCTTAATTAACTTAAAACCGGTCGTTATGCAACCCGGCTCCATCTATTGTAACAAATAGCATTTCCTGAACATGCGTGCAGAATCTCCTGTATTTTACATTACAAAGTGCCGGCCCGTGTTGCGATCCCGGTCCATCTACTGCAACAAATAGCATTTGCTGAGCATGCGTGCAGAATCTCTTGTATTTTACATTATAAAGTGCCCGGCCCCCGTTGTGACCGGGTTATGTAAAAACGGCTCCATCTATTGTAAAAAGTAGCATTTGTCCTCAGCAGTGGTTGCACTTGGCCCTAATAACATTGTCCTCAACACTGCTCTCTCTGCTATGGTCCCGTCTTTGTCTTCAACAGTGGTTGCACTTTCGCTGTCGTGAGTGTGGTTTATTTTCATCCTGTTGCTCCCCTGCGGCATCCCCTCGCCGCGCGGCGGGTTGTCCGGGGTCCACGCGTATGATTGGATACCATACTCCGGCTTTATATTGTTCTGGTGTGGGTGGGGTGGGGGTCTGTTCTATAGCATGGCATATCACAGCACGGGCCCCCAAAAAGTGCGGACCCCTATGTGCGCGTTGCTTATAACGAGGGGAGAGATGATCATTATGGTGGGGTGGCTTGCGGGTGGGAGTGACGGCCACCGCAGGTGGGTTCGCGGTCAAGGTGTAATCGTGGCCAGGCCTGGTAAATCCTAAATTTTTAATCCTATAATTATTAAACCCTGAGTAACCTAAAACCAGTTGTTATGCAACCCCGCACCATGTACTGCAAAAAGTAGCATTTCCTGAGCATGCGTGCAGAATCTCTTGTATTTGACATCGCAAAGTGCCCGGTCCCCGTTGCGAGCCCGGTCCATCTGCTGCAAAAAACAACATGTGCTGAGCATGCGCGCAGAATCTCTTGTATTTACATTACAAAGTGCCCGGTCTGTTGCGACCCGGTTATGTAAACCAGGTCCATCTATTGCAAAAAATAACATTTGCTGAGCATGCGTGCAGAATCTCTTGTATTCTACATTACAAAGTGCCCGTTCCCTTTTCATCTATTGCAAAAAATAGCATGTGCTGAGCATGCGTGCAGTATCTTGAGTATTTGACAATACAAAGTGCCCAGTCCCCGTGGCGACCCGGTTATGTAAACCCGGTCCATCTATTGCAAAAAAATAACATTTGCGGAGCATGCGTGCAGAATCCATTGTACATTACAAAGTGCCCGGTCCCCGTTGCGAGCAGATTCTTGTTTTCAACAAAAAAGGATTTGCTGCGTATGCGTGCAGAATCTCTTTCGCCCGACCTGACCCGTCCTGTCTGTTTTGCTTGGCCGACCCGTCCCCTCCGTTAGGGCACTCGCGTGCCAACGCCCGACCCGATCCGTCGCGCTCGTTAGGGGGCGTCTGCCCGAACCGTTTCGCTTGTATGGGGCACGCGGGTGTTGAAGTTTACCAGTTCTCTCGTGTGTGTCTCGATTGCCAGCTAACTCCCCACTTCTCTCCGCCTCATCATTTGTCATTCTATGTTCTTCTTGTCAATGATTTTCTGTGCACACGTGTGCGCGCCGTACTTTGCTGTTACTTGCCTTCGGCTTATCCCGCCACTATGCCATAGCATGGCATAGCAAGGCATGGGTATCCAAACTGTTTGCGGACATAGGGGTCCCGACTGTTTGCGGATCCAGGAATAGATATGCTATGCTATAACGCAGTGGCGGGATAGGCCCACGGTAAGTAACAATGAAAAAAAAACATAGGGGTCCCCACTTTTTGGAGCCCATGCTATGCTATGCCATGATATAGCACAGTAGCGGGATAGGCCCAGGGCAAGTAACGGGAAAAGACGACGCGCACATAGAGGTCCCCATTTTTGGTGACCCAAGCTGTGCTATGACAGCTGTAGCAAAGTCGTGGGATTCGATGTGGTTACAACGAGGGGAGAGATGATCTTTATGTTTGGGTGGCTTGCGGGTGGGAGTGACGGCCACCGCAGGTGGGTTCGCGGTCAAGGTGTAATCGTGGCCACGCCTAGTAGACCCTAAACTCTAAATTTTTAACCTTATAATTATTAGACCCTGACTACTACAAAACCGGCCGTTATGCAAACCGGCTCCATCTATTGCAAAAAATAGAATTTGCTGCACATGGTTGCAGAAACTGTTGTATTTTACAATGCAAAGTGCCCGGCCCCCGTTGCGACCCGGCCCCATCTATTGCAAAAAATGGTATTTGCTGAGCATGCGTGCAGAATCTTTTTATTTTACAATACAAAGTGCCTGGTCCCCGCTGCGACCTTGTTATGTAAACCGGCTCCATCTCCTGCAAAAAAATAGCACTTGCTGCGCATGCGTGCAGAATCTTTAGTATTTTACAATGCAAAGTGCCTGGCCCCCGTTGCGAGCCGATCCATCTATTCCAAAAAATAGCATTTGCTGCGTATGCGTGCAGAATCTCTTTCGCCCGACCCGACCCGTCCCGTCCGTTTTACCCCAAGCCAGCGGGGCCTGACTATCCCTGATCGTAAGTGTCAGGATCGCGATCTGCGCATGCTGGGACCTTCTCTGTGCGGATATGTATTCGCGTGGCCTGGGAACTATGGAAACAAAAAAGTGCCCCAGACTCTGTACTGAAGCGTGTCTTAACCATCCAGTTTGTTCTGAGTGTCCCGACTGACCTTGCCACACTGTGCCTATCCAGTCGCGCTGTTCGTTATGCATTGGGTTGTATTTCGGGGTTTCTTCTACGTCTGGATTCGGTCTACCAACCAGGGGCGCTATCCCGCCACCGCGCTATAGCATGGCATAGCACCGCATGGGTCCCCACCAAGTGGGGGCCCCTATGCGCGCGTTGCCTTTTACATCTACTTGCCCCATGCCTTTCCCGCCACCGTGCTATGGCATGGCATAGCTCGGTATGGGTTCCCCAAAAGGTGGGGACTCCTATGCGCGCGTTGTCTTTTACTCCTTCCTATCCCAGGCCTATCCCGCCACCGGACCATAGCATGGCATGGCACATCATGGGTCCCCAAAAGTAGTCTCCTCCCGCCGGACCCGACCCGTCCCGTCCGTTGGGGTCCGCCTGCCAGACTTTTCCCGCCCGTTAGAGCACTCGCGTGCCAACTGGATCGCACATCAGTCGTCGCCGTCGTCGTCGTCGTCGTCGTCGACGTTGTATTCGATGTGGTTATAACGAGGGGAGAGATGATCTTTATGGTGGGGTGGCTTGCGGGTGGGAGTGACGGCCACCGCAGGTGGGCTCGCGGTCAAGGTGTAATCGTGGCCAAGCCTGGTAGACCCTAAGTCTCTAACCTTATAATTATGAAACCCTGACTATTACAAAACCGCACGTTCTGCAAACCGGCTCCATCTACTCAAAAAAAAAAAAAAAAAATCCTGAGCATGCGCGCAGAATCTCTTGTATTTTACATTACAAAGTGCCCAGTCCCCGTTGCGACCCGGCCCCATCTATTGCAACAAATAACATTTCCTGAGCATGCGCGCAGAATCTCTTGTATTTTACGTTACAAAGTGCCCAGTCCCCGTTGCGACCCGGCCCCATCTATTGCAAAAAATAGCATTTGCTGAGCATGCGTGCAGAATCTCTGGTATTTTACAGCTCAAAGTGCGACCCCGTCGTGTAAACCGGCTCCATCTATGATAAAAAAATAGCACTTGCTGCGCATGCGTGCAGAATCTTTTGTATTTTACAATACAAAGTGCCCGGCCCCCGTTGCGAGCCCATCCATTCCAAAACATAGCAATTGCTGCGCATGCGTGCAGAATCTTTTCCGCCCGACCCGACTCTCCCCGCCCGCCAGAGCACTCGCGTGCCCGCTGGATCGCACATCAGTCGTCCCCGTCGTCGTCGTCGTTGCCGTCGACGTTGTATTCGATGTGGTTATAACGAGGGGAGAGATGATCTTTATGGTGGGGTGGCTTGCGGGTGGGAGTGACGGCCACCGCAGGTGGGTTCGCGGTCCAGGTGTACTCGTGGCCACGCCTGGTAGACCGTAAATTTTCAATCCTATAATTATTAAACCCGGAGTTACTCAAGAGCGGTCCGTATGCAAACCGGCTCCATCTATTGCAAAAATCATTATTTCCTGAGCATGCGTGCAGAATCTCATGTTTTTTACAGCACAAAGTGCCCAGCCCCCGTCGCGTTCCGTTTCCATCCTATGCAACAAATTGCATTTCCTGCGCATGCGTGCAGAATTTTTTATTTTTTACACCACAAAGTGCTCAGCGCCCGTTGCAACTGGTTTATGTAAACCGGCTCCATCTATTGCAAAAAATAGCATTTCCTGATCCTGCGCATGCTCCATCCTGAGCATGCGTGCAGAATCTCTTGTATTTTACAATATACACTGCGACCCCCTCATGCACACCGGCTCCATCTCCTGGACAACCTCGCGCTTCCTGCGCATGCGTGCAGAATCTTTCGCCCGTTAGAGCACTCGCGTGCCAACTGGATCGCGCATCCGTCGTCGCCGTCGTCGTCGTCGTCGTCGTCGTCGTCGACGTTGCACTCGCTGCGGTTCTACCGAGGGGAGAGATGATCTTTATGGTGGGGTGGCGTGCGGGTGGGAGTGACGGCCGCCGCAGGTGGGTTCGCGGTCCAGGTGTACTCGTGGCGACGCCTAGTAGACCCTAAACCGTAAATTTCTAGTCCTATAATTATTCAACCCTAATTACGATAAAACAGGCTCGTATGCAAACCGGCTCCATCTACTGCCAAAAATTGCATGTCCTGCGCATGCGTGCAGAATCTTTTGTATTTTACATTACAAAGTGCCCAGTCCCCGTTGCGACCCCCCTCCATCTATTGCAAAAAATAGTATTTTCTGAGCATGCGCGCCGAATCTATTGTATTTTACAATACAGAGTGCCAAGTCCTCGTTGCGACCCTGCTCCATCTATTGCAAAAAATAGCATTTCCTGAGCATGCGCGCCGAATCTATTGTATTTTACAGCACAAAGTGCCCGACCCACTTTGCGACCCGGCCTCATCTATCGCAAAAAATAGCATTCCCTGAGCATGCGTGCAGAATCTGTTGCATTTTACAGCACAAAGTGCACCGTCCCCGTTGCGACCCGGCCCATCTATTGCACAACGCGGCATTTCCTGAGCATGCGTGCGTAATTATTCCCGCCCGACCTGACTCTTCCCGCCCGTTAGAGCACTCGCGTGCCAACTGGATCGCACATCGCTCGTCGACGTCGTCGTCGTCGTCGTCCACGTTGTAGTCGATGTGGTTATAACGAGGGGAGAGATGATCTTTATGGTGGGGTGGCTTGCGGGTGGGAGTGACGGCCACCGCAGGTGGGTTCGCGGTCCAGGTGTACGCGTGGCCACGCCTAGTAGACCTAAAACCGGTCGTTATGCAACCCGGCTCCATCTATTGTAAAAAATAACATTTGCTGAGCATGCGTGCAGAATCTCATGTATTTTACACTACAAAGTGCCCGGCCCCCGTTGCGATCCCGTTCCATCTATTGCAGAAAATAGCATGTGCTGAGCATGCGTGCAGAATCTTTTGTATTTTGCAATATAAAGTGCCCGGCCCCCGTTGCGACCGCGTTATGTAAACCGGCTCCATCTATTGTAAAAAGTAGCATTTGTCCTCAACAGTGGTTGCACTTGACCCTAATAGCATTGTCCTCAACACTGGTCTCTCTGCTATGGTCCCGTCTTTGTCCTCAACAGTGGTTGCACTTTCGCTGGCGTGAGTGTGGTATATTTTCATCCTGTTGCTCCCCTGCGACATCCCCTCGCCGCGCGGCGGTTTGTCCGGGGTCCACGCGTGCGATTGGATACCATACTCCGGCTTTATATTGTTCTGGTGTGGGTGGGGTGGGGGTCTGTTCTATAGCATGGCATATCGCAGCATGGGCCCCCAACAAGTGCGGACCCCTATGTGCGCGTTGCCTATAACGAGGGGAGAGATGATCTTTATGGTGGGGTGGCTTGCGGGTGGGAGCGACGGCCACCGCAGGTGGGTTCGCGGTCAAGGTGCAATCGTGGCCAAGCCTGGTAGACCCTAAACCCTAAGTCTCTAATCCTATAATTATTAAACCTTAATTACAACAAACCAGTTACCATGCAACCCGGCTCCATCTACGGCAAAAAATAGTATTTCCTTAGCAGGTGTGCAGAATCTCTTGTATTTTACATTACAAAGTGCCCAGCCCCCGTTCGTTGCGACCCGGCCCCATCTATTACAACAAATAACATTTGCTGAGCATGCGTGCAGAATCTTTTGTATTTTACATTACAAAGTGCCCAGCCCCCGTTGCGACCCCGCTCCATCTATTGCAAAAAATAGCATTTCCTGAGCATGCGCGCAGAATCCGGTATTTTACAATACAAAGTGCGACCCCGTTGTGTAAACCGGCTCCATCTATTGCAAAAAATAGCACTTCCTGCGCATGCGTGCAGAATTTCTCGTATTTTACATTACGCAGTGCCTTCCTCTGCGAGCCGACTCACTCATTCCAAAAAATAGGCTTTGCTGCGCATGCGTGCAGAAACTCTTCCGCCCGACCCGACTCTTCCCGCCCGTTAGAGCACTCGCGTGCCAATTGGATCGCACATCAGTCGTCGCCGTCGTCGTCGTCGTCGTCGTCGACGCTGTAGTCGATGTGGTTATAACGAGGGGAGAGATGATCTTTATGGTGGGGTGGCTTGCGGGTGGGAGTGACGGCCACCGCAGGTGGGTTCGCGGTCCAGGTGTACTCGTGGCCACGCCTAGTAGACCCTAAACCCTAAACTTTAAATTATTTAATCCTAAATTATTAAACCTTAAATATCCTAAAACCGGTCACCATGCAATCCGCCCTCATCTACGGCAAAAAATAGTATTTCCTGAGCAGGTGTGCAGAATCTCTTGTATTTAACATTACAAAGTGCCCGGTCCCCGTTGCGACCCCGCTCTATCTAGTGCAAAAAATAGCATTTGCTGAGCATGCGTGAATACAAAGTGCCCGGTTCCCGTTGCGACCCGGTTATGTAAACCGGCTCCATCTATTTCAAAAAATACCACTTGCTGCGCATGCGTGCAGAATCTCTTGTATTTTACAATACAAAGTGCCCGGTCCCCGTTGCGATCCGGCCCCATCTATGGCAAAAAATAGCCGTTCCTGAGCATGCGTCCTGTTCGTTTTGCCTGGTCGACCCGTCCCGTTTGTTCGGGTACTCGCGTGCCATCACCCGACCCGATCCGTCGCGCTGGTTAGTGTCCGTCTGCCCGACCGTTTCGCTTGTATGGGGCACATGGTTGTTGAAGTTTAACAGTTCTCTCAGGTGTGTCTCGATTGCCAGCTACCTCTCCATTTCTCTCCGCCGCATCATTTGTCATTCTGTGTTCTTCTTGTCAATGCTTTTCTGTGCACACATGTGCGCGTCGTACTTTACTGTTACTGTCTTCGGCCTATCCCGCCACTATGTTATAGCATGGCATAGTAAGGCATGGGTATTCAAACATTGGGGGCCCCTATGTGCGCTGTCTTTTATCGTTACTTGTCTACGACGACGACGACGACGACGACGATGTGCGATCCAGTTGGCACGCGAGTACTCTAACGGGCGGGAAGAGTTGGGCAGGCGGACCCCAACTCATCCCGCCCGTTAGAGCACTCGCGTGCCAACTGGATCGCACATCAGTCGTCGCCGTCGTCGTTGTCGTCGTCGTCGTCGTCGTCGTCGTCGACGTTGTATTCGATGTGGTTATAACAAGGGGAGAGATGATCTTTATGGTGGGGTGGCGCGCGGGTGGGAGTGACGGCCACCGCAGGTGGGTTCGCGGTCCAGGTGTACTCGTGGCCAAGCCTGGTAGTCCCTAAACCCTAAACCCTAAACCTTAAATTTCTAACCCTACAATTTTTCAGCCCTGACTACTACAAAACCGCTCGTTATGCAAACCAGCTCCATCTATTGCAAAAAATATCATTTGCTGCACATGCGTGCAGACACTCTTGTATTTTACACTACAAAGTGCCCGGTCCCCGTTGCGACCCCGCTCCATCTACTGCAAAAAATACATTTGCTGAGCATGCGTGCAGAATCTCTAGTATTTTACAATGCAAAGTGCCCGGTCCCCGTTGCGACCCCGTTATGTAAACCGGCTCCATCTATTCCAAAAAAACACACTTGCTGCGCATGCGTGCAGAATCCTTATTATTTTACAATACAAAGTGCCCGGCCCCCGTTGCGAGCCGATCCATCCACTCCAAAAAATAGCATTTGCTGCGCATGCGTGCAGAATCTCTTTCGCCCGACCCGACCCGTCCCGTCCGTTTTGCTTGCCCGACCCGTCCCGTCCGTTAGGGTACTCGCGTGCCAACGCCCGACCCGATCCGACGCGCTCGTTAGGGTCCGTGTGCCCGACCCGTTTCGCTTGTATGGGGCACGCGGGTGTTGAAGTTTAACAGTTCTCTCGGGTGTGTCTCGATTGTCTGTCTGTCTACCTCCCCACTCATCTCCGCCTCATCATTTGTCATTCTATGTTCTTCTTGTCAATGCTGTTCTGTGCGCATGTCCTGGCAGAGGGAGCAGTCAAACCTATGATGTTCGTTCAGCCATTTTTGGTTCAGCAGGAGCGATCGTGTGCTCATAACCGATCCTCGTCACACGATCGCGCTGTTCTTGCCGCAGCCCACGGCCTGGCTGGCCTATTGTAGTGGCCTTCGGCCAGTGCCGCCGATCCGGGGCGCTCCGACTGATGTGATCCTTCTTCGCCCTCGTCCCTCCTTTCTGTTTCCCTCCCGTCCTCTCACTCAGCATTTATCCAGTGGCCGTCGCCTATCCCGCAACCGTGCGTGGGTGGTGGGTCAGAGGCCTCATGGATGCTGGTTGGGATTTCGTGGTTGGCTGGAACTTCTGGGGGCCTCTTGGGGGCCTCTTGGGCCTCTTGGGGCCGCTAGAGGGCCTCTTGGGGGTCTCTTGGGAGCCTCTTGGGGCTTCTTGGGGGCCTCTTCTGCGCCCCTTGGGGCCTTTTGCAGGCCTCCTTGGAGCCTCTTGGTGCGGGAGGGGTGGCACTCGAGTTCGGGCCCCCCTCGGAGGCCACGATCCTTGTGAGGGGCGTCAAAAAACGCATCCGCCGGAAACTCGCCCCCCCCACCCCCACCCCCCCCTTCCCTGGCAGAGCCACCCCGGCAACCCCCCCAGAGGTTGAGGCTCTGCTTCGAGGCTGTAGCGGAGACTCCTTGAAACTCACACGCCGGATCGGGGGTTTTCTACTTTCTCCTGACGAGGGTCGCCGATCGGCACGAGCCTATCGAAGCGCCTACAGAGGCCTGGCATGGGTGGGGTACTATAATGTACGTGAGTACCCACCACGATGATGTCATGGACGTTTACCAGTGCTATGGGACGCCGCACGATTTCTTGACGAGCTATTCTGGCGCTCGTGCGTACCATCATCTTGGGTACATGTCTATCTACTCAATGCTGCATCTGCACTACGCGGCATTCCGGTCTGGGCAGTATGTTGAGGTGCTCGCGTACAGCGAAGACATTCACCGTGATCGGGTATCCGATCTATACGTGCGTGCCCCCGCGATCTCCCCGGACACCTATGCCATCATCTCGTCCGACTGCAGCATAGAGCGCGCGTGGTTGAACGAGCTCCTGTTTGTTCACCCTAGGGACATGTCTCACGTTGCCTATCACATCCCTTCGATGCACGGCTTCATGATGCCTCTGCTACAGGCTCGTGTCCTCACCGAGGTCGATGAGGACTACCAGGTCCAGCATTTGCAGGCCGTGGTCCCCGCTGCTCTGTCCGACAGCATCTTCGATTTCTTGTCCTATGTCCGGACGCACCACTACAACGAAGATCACGTTGACGGGGGGGCCATTGCGAGGCCCGACGCTGACCAGAGGGACACGCTGAGGAACATTTGCGATCGGCTTCACGGCACTATCTCGCAGGCAGCCGTCAATGCTATCCACGAGGCTGTTCAGCAGGGTCCCCTGTTGGTTCGGGGACAGTGAGTGGCCCTAGGCATGGTATCCCAGCCTTCGTCGCCCTTCTCCACTCTAACACGTCCATTCGTTAATGTTGTTCAGCAGCTTATCATACACCAGGTGATCTATAGAGTCGTCTATGCATCATTGGTTGCATCACTCCAATCATGTACTCATCTATGCATCTACTTATGCATCGATGTGGCTACCTAAGTATGCATCCTCGGAATCAGTTCGTGCTTCCATTTTCTTTGTGTAATCTGTGATTAAATCCATGCATACATCTATGCGTCCATCTCTGCATCCATCCATGCATCCATCTATACATCCACGCGTGCATCTATGCATCCATGGATGCTTAGGTCTTGCATCTCAGCAGCATCCATCCCCCCAACAAATGAGGACGTGTTATCTTCAGTTGCTTTGCTATTGTAGTCTGGTGGACGCTTGTCACAGTTGCTCCTGAAGACGCCTACGGTGTCAGGTTGTTGTAGCTATGCTGGCCCGAGATATATCTTTTGGTCTTGTGAGCGCCCTTCTGGCCGCCTATCCTATGATGCGCATGCTTGCGCTCGCGCTCCGCGTCGTCTCTGCCAGTGCCGTGCTGCGCCCTGGCACGGAGCTGTGCCTATACTGCGAGTGCCGCCATCGTTCAGGGAGATGGTTCCATGCAGACCTTGGTTGGTTTTGTAGCAAGGGCTATCGGCGCATGGAGAACCACCGCTACGAGGTATACCACCCAGCCTGGCGTCACTATCGCGCAAACCTGCGCGTGCATGATTGCACAGGGTGTGGTATTCACTGCGTGGGTAGCCGCGCTGATGTGCGTGCGTTCCGAACGGTTTGGACTATGCTAACTGAGCATCTGGCATCGCTGTCGTGTGTCGTGTTCTCTTTTGGCTTTCTCTATCAGGTGTACTGGGAAGCGCCTATGGTTGCCATGTGCTGCGACGTTGCGCAGTCGCCCTCTATGCTGAACCACGCTCCGGCTATGCGAGCCATGGGTAAGCGCGTGGCTCGGTTATTCAAAAACATGCGCTATCGTGATGGGAATCTATGCGCTGGAACCGTTGGGCAGCAGCCTCTGGGCAACCCTTCCGAGCGCGCCCCTCCGCTTGGTATGTTGTATTACCTATGCAAGAACTTTCGGGCGTTTCACGTGCTGGCAGAGAGCATCGCGCACTATCTGCAGGGCGAGCGCACCGTACTCTCCGTTGCGTGTATCGTGGACATCATGAAGGTGCACGGGTTCGGCCGCTATCATGGCCAGCTTTCGTACACGTCCGTTCGCTTCGCGCGTTCGATCGTCCTGGCCGATGGGCGTCAGCACGCAGATTCGTCGTACGACTGGCGAGTGTTCCGTTCTATGTCATTCCACGTACGGAGGAAGATCATGAAAAGGGCGTTGTGGGATCACGACACGGCTATTCGTTTCCGAGATGGCATGCGCGAGCTCCTGTCACAGCCGCGTTACAACTTGCTGGATCTCATAGTGTATACATGCCTTATGCGTCAGGGTTGACTGAGTCTATTCCGGACAGACTGCCAAACCAATCCACGCAGCATCACTACTGTGATGTCTTTCGGGGATACTGACAGAGACGTACTTCAGACGGCGGCGAAGTCTCTCCTCTGCGGCGACGTGAGGCAATCTTGCAGACTATCCTGCCATCTCGTATGTTTCGGGTTATGACACCTCCTGTTCGGCTGCCTGTTTCGCTCTGCGCAGCCCTTCTGTCTCGTGCGATCGGCGTTGAAAGGTTAGTTCTTTCTACGTTGCGCGTGGTCCTCGTGGCCTGCTCCTACCTGATGCTGTGGCCTGTGGTGGTCTTGTAATTGGTACTCATGCAAGCATTTGCTGTCAGTGCGCCATGCGTGCGCGTTGCTGTGTATTCTTCTCTGCGGCCTCGGCCTATTCCGCCACCGTGCTCCATCATAGCATGGCATAGCGTAGCATACACTCATGACACCTCGTTGCTCTCCTGGTGTTCGCGCCGTGCACGTTGCACTTCTGTGATTGTTCCTGGAGTCGGCCATGCTTGCACTCACTATGTCTTCTGGATTGTGGGTCCGATGCATCCTGGTTCTTTTAGTGGCGGTCGGCCTGCCCCGCCGGCCCCGGCTGGTTGCTCGGTGTCCCACGGATGGTCGCATTGTAATGCTTTGCTATGCTATGCCATGCTTGTTTTGCTATGTGTTGTGCTATTGCAGCACGGCCGCATCCATCCCCAGGAAGTGCGGACGCGCCTCCGCGTCATCGCAGTGTGCTACGCTATTGCAGCACAGCAACTCCCATTTCCAAAAAAGTGGGGGCCCGATATTTCTGTGTTCTGTTCTATTGCACTTCATCAGCTTCCATTCCCCCCCTCCTCCCAAAAACAAAAAAATGGGTCTCTCTCGAAGTGCTGTGCTATTGCAGCACATCAACA